AGCGTGACAGTAGCGTATGGACAGACACACGGATTGTAGGAAGAGTCCAGAAATGAGTCCTCACACTCCTGGTCACTCAGTTTCAGACAATTTAATGAGGGAAAAATAGTCTTTTAACAGACGGGGCTGGGACAACTTGATATCCACATGCAAAAGAATAACATTGTCGCCCTGGCTGGTGTAGCTCAGTGGATTGAGCGCAGGCTGTGAACCAAAGTATCGCAGGTTCGATTTCCAGTCAGGGCACATGCCTGGGGTGCAGGCCACAGCACCCACACATTGATGTTTCTCTCTCTCTCTCCTTCCCTCCCTTCCCTCCCTAAAAATAAATAAATAAATCTTAAAAAAAAACACAAAAAACGTTGTGCCTGTCTTCCATCTACACAAAAGCTAACTCTCAATATACCATAAACCCAAATGTAAGAGCTAAAAGCATAAAACAATTAGAAGAAAACGCGGTAGGAAATCCACAAGGCTTTGAACAAAGCAATGATTAGCTATGACACCAAAAACACAAGTGACAAAACAAAAATTAAAAAATTTAGACTCTATTAAAATGTAAGACTTGTTTGGCCCCATTGGGGTAATTCAGTTGGTTAGCGCATCATCGCAATACATTCCAAGGTTGTGGGTTCGATCTCTGGTCAGGGCACATGTAAGAAGCAACCAATGAATGCATAAATAAGTGGAACAACAAATCGATGTTTCTCTCTAAAAAATAATAAATAAATAAATAATTTAACTTCTTGCTTTCAGGGAAGGAAAAAGTTTCCACCAAGAAAGTGAAAAACCATCCACAGAATGGAATTATTTGCAAATCACGGATATGATACCGCTTTGTGTCCCCAGGATAGCTACTAGAATAGAAAAGACAGACAATAGCCCTGGCTGGTGTAGCTCAGTGGACTGAGCGCTGGCCTGTGAACCGAAGGGTCACTGGTTCAATTCCCAGTCAGGGCACATGCCTGGGTTGTGGGCCAGGTCCTCAGTTTGGGGTATGCGAGAGGCAACCGCACATTGATGTTCTTTCTTTCTCTTTCTCCTTCCCTTCCCTTCTGTCTAAAAATAAATAAATAAAATAAAAAAAAAAAAGGACAATAACAAGTGTTGGTGAGGATGTGGAGAAACCGAAAGCCATTTCACTGGTGGATGGAGTGTAAAAGGGTGCAGCTGCTTTGGAAAACAATTTGACAGTTTCTCAAGATGTTAAACATAAAGTTACCACATATCTCAGCAATCCCACTCCTAGAAATTGAAACCGAGACAAGTGAAAACATACATTTACACAAAAACCTGTACAGGAATGATCATAACAGCATTATGCACAATAGCCAAAATGTAGAAACTACCCACACGTCCATCAGTTGGTGAATACAGAAATAAACTGTGTTATATTCAAACAACGGAGCATTATTGGGCAACAAAAAGGAATGAATTACTGATAAATGCTACAGCTTGGATGAACTTAGAAAATTCTCAAGTGAAAGATGCCAGTCACAAAAGACCATGCGTGTATGACTCCATTTACAGGACACGCCCAGGACAGGCAAATGTGTAGATAACAGAAGCAGACACGTGGACGCCAGGGGCTGAAGGCCCGGGAGCACGGGGAGTGACTGCTGACGGGCGCAGCTTCTTCCGGGGCGACGAGGGTAAGTATGGGTAAGCAGATCCTACAGGGACAGCCACGTGACGCACAGCACTGAAGAGTCATAACCATGAATGCGCGCTCTGATCTTTCTCTCGTACGGAACAATGAGTGATATATGAGAGAGAGAGACAGACAGAGAGAGAGAGACAGAGAGAGAGAGAGAATTTCAAGCTTCAACCAAGGTGACCACTACAGGATGTCCTGAAGCACTTGAACGTACAATTTCACATACTAAAAGATTTTATAAATGGCAAACAATGTTTTGCCTTTCAATTTTCAGTGAACTGTGTCAGAAAGGGGTAACTTAAAAATAGTACACCGGGTCACAACTGGACGGTATTCCACCTGGAACAGATTTAATGATGGCTCCCCTCACGAAGCGCCCCAATCAAAGGCTGCATCTCCCTCACTACCTAAAACATTTCACAAGGCAATAACCGGAGCCACTTTTGCTAAATTGCCTTTTACCAAACCAGGCTTGTTCCATTTTCTCCCGTGACTGTGCGAGTTCCTGTGATCCCCCTCTCCCTCCGTAACCTCAGAGGCCTGCAGACAGCCTCCGATTGTGCGCTACGGCAGGTGAACTAGAGCGTCCAAGCCTCTGGAGAAAACTCCAGGGCAGGATGCACCAGATTTTACTCCAAGATAGTTACCCGACACTACAACTTTAGCTTGGTGAGGCTGAGTCACCTCCTACCATGGGACCACTCACCTGTACCGGAAACAATGGGCGTGAGGGACGCTCGGCCACCGTGGAAACAATGAACACAAAGCACTCTCAGAAAGCCAGCCTGCGTTACAGGTGACGTGTCCTTAAAAAGATTAACGTTGTAAACAATAGGAAAAGTACTTTAGGGAAACAAAAGGAGTTGTACACATAACCTGAGAATTGTCTTTTCCTTACCTGTATTTCATCTGTGTTTTAAAAAAAAAAAATACAAAATTTGAAAGCCAAGTAGTAGAACAACCCTAACATTTAGTAGTTTTATCTGGAGACAAAATTTTAAAATAGTCTGTGGCGTGACAAGTAGTCACTTGTCATGCATGAGATATTTAACCAAGAGAACATTCTAAGAAAGCTATGGTTTCTAGCTGTGCCTCTGCCCACCACTCTGCCCTGTCAGTATGACACATCAGCTCAACCTCCCCAAACAGCACAAGCCAGAGACACGCGGACTCAGATTCCTCCAGCACAGCAGCACCGCCTGCAAGCACACGCGGCAGTGGACTCCCGGAAGTCCCGCCATCCAGCCCTCCCCCACCAAGAGTGGCTAGTACATGGGACCAGGGAATTCCTCCCTTTTCTGATGCTGGCAAGACAAAAGACCCCGCAAACTACAAAGTGTCCTGGCTTTCAAATCAAAAGCAAAGACTGGGAATAATTTAACCTCTTCAAACTGCCTTCACTTCACCATTGCTCCACTCAAAAATAAACTCGGAGAAAATGAAATAGGGTAGAGTAATGACATACCCAGGGCACAGAAAATAGGGACTAGCACCCACTGTGTCCCAGTGGAGAATATTTACGACAGTGGCTACCTGACAGCAGTTCATACCAGGTGCCTGTGCAGAGAGGGCGGAGGGGTGACCTGTCACATCTGGGTCTCTAGCAGGGGGACGACTACCAGGAAGATAAAACAGGAAGACTTTAGCACAAGAGTGATAAAACATTTGGCTTGCTTACTGGAGACCGGAATGACCAGCTCAAGAATGTCAAGGGGCGAGTCAGCCAGGCGTTGGGGACAGCTGTTTCAGAGGAGGGCAGGTAGTCCAAGCACATGCCACGTGGAGTCTGGCCACCCGGACATGCTCTCCCCACTGAGTGGGCACTCAGGGGCAGCCAGGATAGGCCCAGCCCCAGTCTTCCGAACGCACAGGAGGACCCAAAGCTGCCCACAAGCAAGCGCTGGGCGACTCAGGCTGCCAATCAAGGGGGACTGTCCGGCTCCACGTGGGCTTTCGGGAGCGGACTGTCAGAGGCTTCAGAAGCCTCGCTCGGCGCAGGGGCACTTTGCGCCGCAGCTGCTGGGGCGGCCGCCTCTCCTTCCCTGCGGGTACCTGTGCTTTGGCGCTGCGCCACAGGAGAGTTACTCCCAGGATTCTCGGAACTTCCTATCTCAACACGAGCGCCTATCTCGCACCCCCCGCCCCCTCCCCCAGCACTTCGACGGAGGGAGATGATAAAAGGATGAGTAAGCAGGCTGCTGCCGATCTCGGTCAAAGAGCAGACCCTGGCGCCGGCGCTGGAAAATGGGGGGTGGCGCGGGGGAGGAAGCAGAACTGAAAGTGGAGTCGGGGCGTCTTCCAGGGAGCTGCAGGCGGCCACGCGCCTTCCCACGGCAGTTACTGCTGCCTTCTGCGGCCACCGGAACCCCAACCTCGCTCTCACCGCCCTCCTCCCGCCGCGGTCGGGCGCACATTTCCTTAGACATTTACTTCTGCGAAACGACACACGACGAAAGGCTTCTGTTGTCAAAGACAACAACGCCTCACCCTGAAGCATGGCTTTAAGTTCAACGGTTCTGCTTTCTCACTTTTTTTTTTTTTTTTTTGGCGCCGTGTCCGCCCCGCACCCCACCAAAGATCACTTCGGGTCGGCAAAGAGGCGACTGACACCAAGTTTCAAATATATCAACCTCTTGGGGGGAAAAAACCCGGATACAAAACAAACTTTTGAATTACTTTACCAGCCTGGTTACAAGTACCTGACCTTATTTTTTTCCCCAAAGAAAAATAGGACACCGAGACATCAGAAATTTATTTTCCCCTGCCTTCCTGCTTTGGTCGCTGGCAGCATCTGGGGGCTCTTTTTAGAGTTCTCCAGAGGAAAAGTGCCCTCAGTAGCCAAACGTCCTATTGGTCCCCGGTTTCCTTTAAATGCTGAAGTTCACAGATGGGGGGGGAGGAAAACCTAGTGCCGTTTCCTTTGTTAAAATCCCACGGACTTGATTTAATTTGGGGCGGAAAGGCTGCTTAGCAGCGAGGAAGACAGCGAGCCGCGCAACTGCGGGGAGACAGGTGCGATCCCCCCGCCCGCGGGTGCCCTGCGGCCGTTCCGCGAGGCAGCAGACCCCTCCGGCGCCACCCCGGGCCCGGCCTGGACCCAACTCCCCGAGCGTCCGCGGCCTTCGTCCTCCCGCGCCCCGGACGCCCCGCAGGGCCTGGCCTCGTCGCCGCCTCCGCTCAAAATGGAGGTGGTGGCGGCGGCGGGCGACTGGTTCGGCTGGTTACGAAACGCGCGGCCGCCACATGGCCGCGCCGGCCCCAAACTTGGCCCGGCCCGCCGAGTCTGGCGCCCGGGCGAGGCTGGGCCCGGGCGCTAGGAGGCCGCGCAGCGTCCGTCACTCACCCACAGACCGGTAGCCCAGGATCGCGATCTTCCGGGACTTGGACTGCGGCATCTTGGCGGCCTCCTCAGCCCCAGGCCAACCACATCAACCGCGGCGGCGGCGCCTCCTGTGCTGCGATCGGCGGCCGCGCCGGGGCAGAGCGGCATCCAGGGGCGGGGCGGGCGGGCGCGGCTGCCTCCGCTCCAGGCTCGCGCGCCCAACCGCCCGGATCCGCCGCGTGGCCCCACCCCCAAACACACCCACGTGACCGCCGCTGCCGCCGGCCCCTCCCTCCCTCCCTCTCGTGGTCCGCGTCAGCACGGCCTTGCCCGCCGCGGTGTCCGCTCCTGCCCCGGAAACCCACGGGAGTGCGTCGGAAGACGTTTTACTTTTAAAGGGGAAAAGAGGGGACGCCAAGAAGCTTCCGGAAAAGTCACGACTAAAACTCGCTGTGTCATGACCCACCCACAGCCTTCCGCCGCTTTTTAATTACGCCAGTTCTCCCAGAGCGCTGATTGGACAACTGCCGCCCGCCCGCGCGGTGACACAAAATCGACTCCGGCTTCCATTGGGGGTGCCGAGGAGGCGGAGCCTAAGCGCGGGCAGCTCCTGCCGAAGCTAAAAATAAAATCCGGCTGCAACCGCGGGGTTGTGCGCCACTGAGGTTTGAAAGCTTCGAGTGCCGCAGGGCTGGGGTGCTGGGGGTAGGGCTGGGAGAACCTAACTTCTCGGTGATTGGCGAGAGCAGGATGAGGGGCAGGGCAAGCTGCGGAAGGCGCGGTCATTGGCGAAGTGCAGAGAGGTGGGTGGGCTGGCTCCCCCTGAGCCCTTAAAAGGCTGGATAGGCCAGGCGCGTGGTTACTCGCTAGCCTTTGAGTTTCCTGGGTTTTCCATTTTTAGCTTCTTTGCTGTGACGGCGTTAGTAAGTCTGGGTTGGAGGATATAGCTGGTGATTAAACGCCATCTGCAGTGAAGAAGCATGAGAAGAATGGAGTATGTGTTAATTCAAAGTGTTTTGCATTTCATTCAAAAAGTGTGTGCCTCGTCAGTTCTGCTCCCAACTCTGGGACAGGTGGACCCCTGCACACCTTACAGGTCAACATACCTTTAATTTTCAACACTAGGCATGGCTAACTCAGTACTGAAACTTAAACACCAGCTGTTGTTGCCCGACACCACTCCAGAACCAGGGATTTTAGTCCACTGGGCTGGAGCTCCCGTGTGGCCTGACTTTTCCAGGAATCACTGTTGCCCACAGAGGGCGCACTGACAACCCCTTTTTCCTGGTGCCAGTGAAGACCTGTTAGGGTGGCACCAATATCGAGGGCAGGAGGGGACACTGGCCTGGGAGGCCTTGGTCATGGGAAAGGAAGGCCTGAGAAGTGAGGACGTGAACTGGGAGATTTCCGGCCAGGGAGACTTCCATCATGGGAGACATTCTGCTCTTGGTGGTTGCTGAAAAAGCATCCTGCCATGCCTACGGATGCCCTTGTTGTTCTTGGGCGGTTGGGCAGCGTTGACTGGCCGAGTGGTCAACTGGCCCTCCTGGCCCTTGGCCAAATTTTCCCAGTGAGCAAAGAGGAAGAACCCTGGAAGCTGAGTGACAGGGTTGGATTTCTGGGTATGAAGAATTAGAAGGGAGTGTCCCATCAAGATAACCTTGTTGAGGACTTCCGGCCAAGATGGAGGCAAAGGTAGACGCACTGCGCCTTCTCGAGCAACGAAAAGAAGGACAACAATTAAAACAAAAAACAAAAAACACAGAACTGCCAGAAAACCGAACTGTATGGAAGTCCGACAACCAAGGAGTTAAAGAAGACACGCTCATCCAGATGGGTAGGAGGAGCGGAGACGGGCAGCTGGGAGGAGAGGACTCACGGCCATGTGGCGGCTGAAGACCGGGGTAGGCAAGGCGGCGGCTGGCAGACTCATCGAGGTGGCAGATTGTGGAGCGGGCGGTCCCACATTCACTCACAGATAAACCGGGAGAAACAACTGGGGAGTGGGACGGACTGCATGACCCAGGGTGCCAGTGCGGGGAAATAAAGCCTAAAAGCACCGATTGAAAACACCTGTGGGGGTTGAGGTACTGGGAGAGACTCCCAGCCTTACAGGAGAGTTCATTGGAGAGACCCACAGGGTTCTAGAATGTGCACAAAGCTACCCACCCGGGAATCAGCATCAGAAGGGCCCAATTTGCTTGTGGGAAGCAGGGGAAGTGACTGAAATCTGGCAGAGAGCAGAGCAAGCGCCATTGTTCCCTCTCGGACCCCTCCCCCACATACAGCATCACAACATAGTGACATGAGTTGCCCCGCCCTGGTGAACACCTAAGGCTCCGCCCCTCACTACGTAACAGGCGCGTCAAGACGAAAAAAAATGACCCAAAGGAAAGAGCACATCAAAGCTCCAGAAAACATACAACTAAGTGACAAAGAGATAGCCAACCTATCAGATGCACAGTTCAAAACACTGGTAATCAGGATGGTCAAAGAATTGGTTGAATTTGGTCACAAATTAGATGAAAAATGAAGGCTACGCTAAGTGAAATAAAGGAAAATTTACAGGGAGCAATAGTGATGGGAAGGAAACTGGGACATAAATCAATGATGCGGACCAGAAGGAACAAACATCCAACCAGAAAAAAATGAAGAAACAAAAATTTAAAAAAATGTGGAGGGGCTTAGGAACCTCCAGGACATCTTTAAACATTCCAATATCCAAATTATAGGGTTACCAGAAGGGAAAGAGGAATAGCAACAAGTGGAAGAGTTATTTGAACAAATAATAAAGGGGAACTTCCCCAGTCTGTCAAAGGAAATAGACTTCCAGGAAGTCCAGGAAGCTCAGAGAGTCCCAAAGAAGTTGGACCTGAGGAGGAACACACCAAGGCACATCATAATTACATTACCCATGATTAAAAAGAAAAAGAGAATCTTAGAAGCAGCAAGAGATAAGGGGACAGTAACCTACAAAGGATTTCCCATCAGACTGTCAGCTGATTTCTCAAAAGAGACCTTGCAGGCAAGAAGGGGCTGGAAAGTAGTATTCCAAGTCATGAAAATCAAGGACCTACGTTCAAGACTGCTCTATCCAGCAAAGCTATCATTTAGAATGGAAGGACAGATAAAGTGCTTCTCAGATAAGGTCAAGTTAAAGGAGTTCATCATCACCAAGCCTTTATTATATGCAATGTTAAAGGGATTTATCTAAGAAAGAGAAAATAAAAATATGAACAGTAAAATGACAGCAAACTCACAATTATTAACAACCACACCTAAAAAAAAAAACAACAAAAAACCAAACTGAGCAAACAACTAGAACAGGAACAGAACCACAGAAACGGAGATCACATGGAGGGTTATGAACAGGGAAGTGGGAGGGGGGAAAGGTACTGAGAATAAGCAGCATAAATGATAGGTAGAACATAGACAGGGGGAGGGTAAGAATAGCATAGGAAAAGTAGAAGCCAAAGAATTTATATGTATGACCCATGGACATGAACTAAAAGGGGGGGAATGTGGCTGGGAGGGGGTGTGTAGGGTGGAGGAGAGTGAAGGGGGGGAAATGGGACAACTGTAATAGCATGATCAATAAAATATATTTTTAAAAAAGGTACCTTGTTGAGTTAGAATGCTGGCGTTAAGGTAGACTCCTTTCATGTCGATTCCAGAGAGGGCATGATTGGTTCAGTAATGACCATCATTCTCTCTCTCTTTTTTTCCTAAATCCTCACCTGACGGATATGTTTATTGATCTTAGAGAGAGAGAGAGAGAATCATTGATATGAGAAATATCAATCAGCTGCCTTCTGTACACACCCGCACTGGGATTGAACTGGCAACCTTTTGGTGTAAAGGTGTTCAGGGACAACGCTCCAACGAACTGAGCGACCCGGCCAGGGCACCATCATCTCTTGAGTGAGAAGTCATGCTTTACCTGTCAATCAGCCAGTTAAGCACCATTGGTGGGTAAAGCAGTTCATGGCAGCTATCTGTGAACTGTGCACTATTACGGGATCACTATTAACTTTCTGTGAGTTTTTTGTTTTCAGGGAGAGGGGGAGGGGGAAAGAGGGAGAGAAACATCAGTGTGTGAGAGACAGACCCTGCCCATAACCCAGGCATGTGCCCCGACTGGGAATCAAGCCGGTTCTCGGACCAGCACTCAGCCCACTAAGCCACACCAGCTGGGGCAGCTTTCTGTGAGCATTAGCAAGTCCAGTGACCTCTGATTTGCAGTTTCGTTGGGTTAGACTAAGGAAGAGAAGAATGAAACCCACCGCTATGCTTACTTTTAGGAAAAGGACGTTTGTGAAATTATTTTACCTTTTTGCACATGAGAGTGACCCTCGATGAATGCAGACATGAAGGCACTTAGCTTTTACAACAAGTGATGGAGGCAGACTGGGAAAGAACTGGGCTCCCCTTGACCTTGGCACAAGCCGAATGAGACCGCTCTGTTATGTGCCACAGGGAGTGCTGTTCAAATCGAAGGGTGCGGGTTGGGGAAACGTGCCAAGGTCGTGTCATTGTGCGGTTGCCTTGCTGGAGCCGAGGGGACAGGGCCTGCTCTTGTGGGCGGGACGTGGTTTTCTCAGTGGGGCCTTAGGAGCCTGCCCCCAGCCTCCTAGCATGAGGCTGTCCTAGCAAGTCCCCCACGTACACTCGGGTGACAGAAAATCCTCTTCCCTCTGAAGCCGGGGGTCAGTCTGGCCTGAACCCCGAGGTATGGAGATGCGTGGAGGGCTCCCAGCAGAAGGAAGTGGAGTAAGCCCACCCTAAGCCCATGGACGTAAGCCACGCACGAGGGCGGAAGTTGGCTCAGCGAGGAGCTCTCAGGACAGGGCCCATGCAGTGGCTGTAAACGGTTCTTGACTCTTAGGGTTGGAATGTCCCCTAACAGGCGAAGTATGGCCCTGCTCAGAAGGGGATGTCACGTGGAAGTAGGGCTGCTGCAGAGGTAACCAGTTATACTGGAGCGGACCAGGCCCTGATCCGATATGACCCGTGTCTTCAGAAGAAGGAGGGACTCAGGCACACAGAAACAAAGGGGAGGTAAGAGGCAAGCCACGTGATGACAGGGGCGGAGACTGGAGCAGTGCTGCCACAAGCCAAGGACACCTGGGGCTGCCGCTGCAGAGGGGGAGGAGAGAGTGTCTTCCAGAGACTGCGGGGGTGGAGCCTGGCCTTGCTGGCACCTTG